TTCTCTCTTTCCACACCTTGGGAAACAAAGTGCCAGAAGCAGGGCCCAAGCAGATGAGGACTTAGGGTGAAGGGGTCCTGAGGACACTAGGAATCCTGGGGGGGTGGAGCGGGGGAGGCTACCTCCTTCTTCAGGGGGCCCGGGTCTCACCTTGATGTAAGATGCCAGGGTCTGAGAAGTTGAGTGAAAGGAGACTGAAGAAGGTGAGGACAAAGAGGGGCCCCGTGATGATGGGAAAGGCCCACTCCCCGTTCTGGGCCAGCCACCTGCAACTGAGGCCAGAGCAGGACTCAGCCCTGCTCCGAAGCCCCTGCCAGGACCGCTCACCGCTCAGGGCCCACAGGCCTTTCAGCTCCAAACATACGGCTTCTGACAGATCCACGGAGGCTCCACCAACGCCCCCGGGATTGCCAGCCACCTGCAGCCCCCACACACCAAATACCTCTACGTCTGTGCCTTTGCACATTGGAGTCCCCCTGCCTAGAATATCCTCCCTCCCCTGGCCCCTCTGCTGCACTTCCCCTGCCTCTGCGCTGTCATTTCCGTTCTCTCCTGCCAGCCGGTGCGGTAGACTCACGGGAATGCAAAGAAGAGGCCGCTGAAAACCAGCAGCAGCACCACATTGAAGGCCGCAAACAGGCTCGGGAGGATCCAGGGAAGAGGGGCCTGCGGTGGGGGTAAGGGCTCCTTCACGAGGGGAATGGCATCGTTCCTGAGGGGCATGGCTGGACCTCCCGCGCCCCCAGGGGAGACCAGAGCCACCAGGCTCCCTCTCCCCTGCTGGCTCCAGGCGCCCCATGGCCACAGCGGCCTCGGAAGCCGCAGCTCAGGGCGGAAGGAGAAAAGTCCCAGTGTGACATCACAGAGGCTGCGGAGAAGGGGCAGGGTTCTGTAGCAGAACTGCCCCCAGCCTGTGACTGTCACTGCCTCCAGCAATGCCTCCACCCACTCCCACTTGTGCTGGGGACCGAGAGGCCCTGCCCTGCGAGGAGGTTCGCTCCGAGACAGCATGAGAGTAGAGACACACTTGGGGCGAAGGTGGGAGGTTCTAACCACCCTTTTGGCTTTGGCGCTAATTAAAGCAGAGCTCTGTGCTCACTCGATTGCCTTTTCCCCTTTTTGTTTATTATAAAATTCCACTCTGGGGGGCGGGGCAGCTAAACAATTTTGCAGCTTCCGTCATTTCCATGGTTGGCTTCAGGACACAATTCTGGTCAGTGAGGCCTAGGTGGGTGTGGGTTGAGAGTTTCTAGAAGCGCTTTTGCCTTCCTGATAAACGGGGCAAAGGACACGGTTGGCACAACTGTCCCTCTCTTCCCGTCTTGAACCTAGACCTGCTGGCTGGCACCTGAGGGTGCCACCTTGGACCCGTTAGGCCAGTGGTCAGCAAACCGTGGCTCGCAAGCCACATGCAGACCTTTGGCCCCTTGAGTGTGGCTCTTCCACAAAATACCACGTGTGGGCGTGCACATACAGTGTGATTGAAACTTCGTGGCCCATGCGCAGAAGTTGGTTTTGGGCCTGGGCAAGTCTATTTTGAAGAAGTAGTAAAGCTGGCTGAGTGTAAATTCTACAACTAGAAGGAAAGAAAAGCACACTGAGACTCAGAGGAGATGCGGAAGTAAAGTGCAGAGGTACAGAGGCTCAAGTGCACATGGAAAGGGGCTGACAACGGAGGACGCGGTTGTCTTTTTCAATTGGGAGGGAGTCACAAGCTCCCAATGGCCCCCAATGCAGTTCCGGGCAAGTCTCTGGGGACACAGACTCACATGGGGAGCAACTGGACTGTCTGGACGTGGGCA